TCCAGCTCATTTCATAGATGAGGAAATTGAAGCAAACAGTATTAAGTGACTTGCCCAGGGTCATACAGCTAGTAAGTGTTTGAGGCCGGATTTGATGAGTATTCATCAAATAATGAGTCTTCCTGACTTCGGGTGCAGTGCTGTATCCACTGCACCACCAACTGCGCCCCACCACCCACCACCCACCACCCAAAAAGAAAGGTAGGATCCCACAGACTAAAATGCTTCAAGGGAAGCCAGCCCAGGAGGTATGAGATGATGAGGAATGAAATTCTGCAGGTACAAAGGGAAACAATTCCACTGAAGAGGAAACATGGGATTTGTCTGAAGAGACCAATTGATACACAGAGAACTCACCAAAGAAACAGATTTTTAAAGAAGAACCATCCAGAAGAAGGAAACAAAGCCAGGTGATAGAGGGTGAATGGGAAGATAAGAAGGTGGAACGGCCTTGTTAAAACAATGCCAGGAATGCCAAAGCTCAGAAGGAGCCAAGACTGGCCTAGGGAGTGAAGAACTGAGCAGAAGCACAGGATTTCATTTTCTTAGCCATATTTGGAGGAAGAGAAGGATCAGAGAAGGGAGAGGACCTTTGTTTGGGTGGAGGGGAGGCAGGATGATCACAACGGACAACAGAGATGCCGGGAGACCCATTTTTCATTTTGTTTCCATTTTCTCGACCAAGGACGATGACTGGCCTTCTGACTAGAAATAGCTGAACAACTCACAGAAAGTTAATAGCCAGATAAATTTAGGAGACAGCGAGAGAGCCCCTCACTGCCCTGGATGAACTCTAATCATCAAGAAATGGCAGCTGACTGCAGAGCCCCTGTCAGTGGTATTGGAAAGATCATGGAAGATGGGAGAGGAACCCATGGGAGACTGGAGAGGGACAAGTGGAGCAGTTTTCAGCAAAGGAAAGAGAGCAGTGTCTACCAGCTCTAGGTCAGTGGAAAGGTTAGCCTTGGCAAAGAAAAGAATCAGAGGGAGAGAGAGAGAGAGAGAGAGAGAGAGAGAGAGAGAGAGAGAGAGAGAGAGAGAGCGAAGGGGAGGAGTTATAGTGATCCTGGAGATAAGTGATTGAGTGGGAGTGGGAGGATGGTCAGATATGATGTTTAGGAAGATTACTTTGACAGGCAACTGCACGATGGGCTAGAGTGAGGAGACACTTGAAGCAGGCAGACCTACCAGCAAGTTAATGCAGTAATTAAGGTGTGAGGTGATGAGGGCCTGCACCAGAGAGGTGGCAGGGGGGCATATACAAGAAATATTGTAAAGGTAGAATTCACAGAACTTGTCAACAGATTGGATAGGGTGGGGGGAGAGGTAGAGAGACAGAGGAGTCAAGGATGACCCTGGGGTTGTGGGTCCAAGTAACTGGGAAGATGGTGAAACCCTTGAAACAGTAATAGGGAAGGAAGTTAGAAAGAGGAAGGAGTTAGAAGGAAAGAGAAAGAATTTAACCTTTGGCATGTTTGATGATGATAGAACAACCGTCTTGAGATGGTCAGTAAAGAGAGGAAGATAAGAGACTGGGGGTCAACAGAGAGTTTAGGGCAGGAAAAGTTGATTTGAGAATCATCAGCATAGAGATGGTCATTGAATCCATGACAACTGATGAGATCCCCAAGAGAAGTAGTTTAGAGGTGAAAAGATAGATCCTTGGGGGACATCCACCCATCAATAAAGACTTAAATCAAATCTTGCCTCTGAAACACATTCACTATATCACCTTGGGCAAGTCACTTAAATCCTCAGCACATCAGTCTACTCTCCAAGAGCGTAAGTTGTGGAATGTAGAGTCTAGGTACTGATTTGCACTGGTAGAAGGAGCTTCCTCACGTGGGAATTCCCTATACCAACAAAATCACACCTATTGATACAATTATGGAATTTTAAATATGACTTAAGCGGTTGATTATGTTTATAGTTTTCCCAGTATTGAATAATCGTGCATTTCTGGCACAAATCCAACCTGGTCAAAGTGTATAATCTAAGAAAGTTGCTATAGCCTCTTGGTTCATGTTGTTTTCAATATTTGTAGTGATAAGGACTATAGATTTCTTTTTCTATTTTATCTCTTTATAGTTTAGGTATCAGGCTCAAAGTGGTCTTCTAGGAAGATTTTAATAGAATTCCTTCTGTGGTAGGTGAAATAGCTGCCATGTAAGGTAGGCCAATTTTATTTTTAAAATATATTGAAGCCATTCTCCAATAGATTATGAACAGAAAGTTTTCAAAGGAGGATATCTGAGCTACTTATAGATAAGAGAAAATGCTCTAAATCATGACTAACTAGAGAAATAAAAATTAAAGCAACTTTGAAATTCCACCTCCAGAGACCAGCAAAGATGGCAAAAGAGGAAAATGGAAGGGCTTCAGGAAAACAGGCACACTAATACATTATTAGTGAAGCTGTACGTTGGAACTCTAATCAAAAAGCTTCCAAGCTATGCATACCCTTTGACTCACTCATACCACTACTAGGTTTATCCTCCAAAGAGAGCAAAGAAGGGCAAAATGGACCTATGTGTACAAAAATGTCTTTTCATGGTGGATAAATATCAGAAACTAAAGAGGTTTTGCTAGGTGGTGCCATAATGCACAGAGTGCAGGAAGACCTGCATTCAAATCAGTCCTCGGACCCTTTATTAGCTGTGAGACTCTGGGCAAGTCACTTAACTGCTGGCTGCCTCATTTTCCTCATCTGTAAAATGGGGATAATAATAGCACCGACTTTGGGTAGGTCAGGACCACATGAGGTAACAATCAGTGCCTCCCCTTCCTTTCCTCTATAGTTGGGCTTCTGACATCATCATTCAACTGAAAATGCTTTCTCTGAGTTCTCAGGAGTTGACAAAGCTAATGCCCTTTTCTCAGTCTTCATCCTTCTTGACTTCTCTGGAGCCTGTGACGCTGTCAATCTCTCTCTTCTCCAGGATAATTTTTCCTCTCTGGTTTTTTTTTTTTTTGGTTTTGTTTTGTTTTTTCTTTTTTGGTGAGGCAATTGGGGTTAAGTGACTTGCCCAGGGGGTCACACAACTAGTAAGTGTCTAGGGTCTGAGGCCGGATTTGAACTCAGCTCCTCCACATGCCTAGGCTAGAGCTGTATGCACTAGACCAGCTAGTTGCCCCTCTCTGTTTTCTTGCCACTGCTCACTGATGGTTTTCCTCCTACCTGTCTGACCCGTCCTTCTCAAGCTCTTCATTCAGATCAGACCCACTCAATGTGGGAATCCCTGGGTCTCGGTCTTCTTCTGTCCTGGGTTTTTTTCTTCCTCTATATTATTTCCCTTGCTGTAGATTCAATTATCATCTCTATGCTGGTGACTTTTAGCTCTATTTGGCCAGCCCTGACTTTTCTCTTGTCTTCTGATCTTATATCTCCCTCCCCACCTGCCCATCACCCAGACTGGAAACCTAGTGTTTGACTGCTCCCCTCCCCCACCCCCACCCCCTGTACCCAACCTGTTGCCCAGGCCTATGCATTTTACCCTTATAACATCTCTCAGGTATGCCCCATTCTCTCTCCTGATGCAGTCCCCACTCTGGTGCAGGCTGCATCATGCCCAGCCTGGACTACAGCCATAGTCTGGGGGAGGGGGAGGGTCTGCCTGCCCACTCCCCACTCCAGGCAGCCTCCATTCAGCTGCCAAAGGGGTCCTCCCAAATAACAGGTCCCCCCCCCATGTCCCTCCCACCCCCACCATAAATTGCAGTAAATCCCGGTGGCTCCTATTACCTCCACGATCCCAGGTAAAGCCTGTTCTTTGACTTACCTGGTCCCTCCCTCCCTTTCTGGTCCTGTTCCCTGCACTGATCCCACCAGCCATGTGATCTTCGTTCCAGAGACACTGGCCTCTTCGCTGGCCCTTGCACAACACTTTCCATCTCCCAATTCGCTTTCATTGCCTTCGCCCACACCTGGACAGTCCTCCCTGTTCATCTCTGTCTCCTGAATTCCTGGCTCCTTCAAGGTCAGGCTAAAATTCCACCTTTCTCTCCTAACTCCTCTTCATCCCAGAGCCTTCTCTCTGTTCCTTATCCCGTGTTTGGCCTCTCAGCAGCTGGTTTGCGCACACTGGCTTACCTGTTGTCTGCCCCATTAGACTGTGAGTTCCCCAAGGGCAGCGACTGTCTTTGTACCCCTGGGCTTAGCATAGTGCCCAGCACACAGTAGGTACTTCATACCTGAGCATTTGCTAAAGTCTCCTTGGGGCTCCTCCCTCGCCCCCACAAAACACCTTGTTCGATTTGGTCTTTAGACCTTGTTTCTAAGAGTTTTCTTTGCTCCAACCCCACCTCCTATAATCTATCCTCTTCTTCCTCCCTCCCACTTTTTACAAAGAAGAAAACGGGAGAAAGAAAAGACTGGGAACACCGACTGATAATGGCAGCGATCTGCTCCCGCCACTCCGTCCCTGTTCTCGGACCCTGGTCCTCACACCTTCGTCCTTTCTCTCCTCTTCATCAGCCCTTAATGGTGGGCCCCGCTCCCCTCATAAGGTTAAGTTTGTCTTACTTGTGACTACTCCTTCCCCAAGGCCTCTAGGGGGCACCATGGTGCACATAGTGCGGGGCCTGGCGTCAAAAAGACTCAACTTCTTGAGTTCAAAACCAGGCTCACACCCTTACTAAGTTATATGACCCTGGGCAAGTCACTTAACACATTTGCCTCAGTTTCCTTACCTGTAAAAATGAGCTGGAGAAGGAAATAGCAAACCTCTCCAGTATCTTTGCCAAGAAAACTTCAAATGGGGTCACAGAGAGTCAGAAATGACCAAATGACTGAACAGCAGCTCCTTCCCCAACTCTACACTCCCCCCCTTAAATTCCCCTCTGCTGTCTCCCTTCCCCTGCCTGCTCCTGGCTGAGTTGAATGCATTTCGACCCCAAAGTCTGTGTTTGCTGTGTGTCCCTGGGCCTCCTTCTTGCACCTGACTGCCCTTCCCCTCCCCACAAAGCCCCACCCTCCTTCAACTGGAGACCACAAGGAAGAAGAAGCTGCTACTTCCCTTTCCTAACAAGGCTGAGGATCGGGAAACATTGCGGAATCCTCTGCCTGACCTTCTCTCCAGGGCTGGGGCCACCATGGGTCCTGCAGGCACTGCCCTGCTGTGCTTGGGTGAGTCCTGGGGAGGGAAATCCAAGAGGGCTCCAGGGACGGGGGCTCCTGTAGCTTTTACAGCGGTCTCACAGACCATTGTGGTCATTCCCCAGCCCATACGTGCCTTTCACAAAGGGAGAAGCTGAGGCTCAGAGGGGGGACTGATTTTCTGGAGGCCCCAGTGAGTGGGGGGCAGGATCCAGGTCTCCTGAAACCCACCTAGCCCCTCTCAGTCCAGTCTCCAGGGCCAGGCTCTGGCTTCCTTTTTGTTTCCTCTCCAGGGCTGGGTAGGAAGGAAGTGGGGAGCCAGGTCTAATGGGGGTCTTCTTCAACAGGATTGTGCATGGGCCAAGGGATCAAGGCACAGGCAGGTGAGCCCCTTCCCCCACCCCAAGCCCTTTTGCCCCTGATCCCCATTTGGCACAGACTGGGTGGCTGGGGAGGGAGGACTTCGGAGCCTTGCTGAAGCTAATGGGGCTGTCTATGGGAGGAGAGACTGGGATGGGGAGGGAGGACCCCCTGGACCTCTGGACTCTGATTCTCTTCCAGAGACATTCCTCAGACCCACCCTCGAGGCTGACTCAAGCCCTGTGATCCCGCAGGGGACACCCGTCACCCTCAGGTGCAAGGGACATCCTGGGGCTATTTGGTATTTTCTGATGAAAGGAGAAATTCAGTTCCAAGGTGTACTTGGAGAAAAGATGGAGGCTAACTTCCACATCCACTCCATGACAAGGGACACTGCAGGGAGTTACCACTGCTTCTATATGACCCTGTCTGGCTTCTCAGAGCCCAGTGAGCCCCTGGAGCTGGTGATGACAGGTGAGGCAGGACCCCCTAGCACCTGGCTCTACCCCTCAGCCAGGGTGGAAGTCTGTGTCCCCAGCAGATTCCTCACCCCTCCCCCAATCTTCTGCTCCTTGCCCTTTGTGCCCAAGCCCAGCTGGGGCTTAGGATTTATGATGGTAGGGCCCTAACTCTATGTAAAGGGGCCTGCAGTGTGTGTGTGTGTGTGTGTGTGTGTGTGTGTATGTGTGTGTGTGTATGTGTGTGTGTGTGTGTGTGTGTGTGTGTGTACTGGGGGAGAAGGGAGACAGAGCTGCACAAGAGATTTGGGGGGAACACTCCAACCAATAGAGGGGTTCAGCTATCCATGGTTATGGGGGAGGAGAAGACTGGGGAGAAGATCCTGGAGCTGGACTGGGCAGGAGGATGCTGAGGACCCCTGGAGCCCTCCAGGGGAGGAAGCTTCTGCCCCAGCCTGTGACCTGGATTGTTATAACTGTGCTCCTGCCCTCTCCTTGTCCCCCTCCCCAACCTCATCCCAGCCCTCTGCCCCACTTCCCTCCTCCGACTCCTTAGCTGAGTTCCTCCTCATGGGGTCATAGTGAATCTTGGGGCCAGAGAGGAGATAGGAGCCTCACCTCAGGGAGTCAGCACAGAGATCTGTTGATTCTGTTGAGGGTCACAACCCAAGCTTCCTAGGGAAGAGCAAATGGGGTGTCTCCCAGTCCGCAACCACAGCCTTTATACCTGGAGAAGGAGAGGAGGATGGACCCACAGGTCCCCCGGGCACTCACAGAGGAGACCAGGAAAAGGGGCAGTGCCTCCTCTGTCATTCTAGGCTCTCCTGTCAGTCAACAAGCATTTATTAAGCACCTGCTGTGTGGCAGGGACAGTGCTAATCTTTGGGAATACAAAGGAAGGCAAAAGACAGACTCTCCTTTCGGGGAGCTCCCAGTCTAAAGGGGAAGACAGATCCCTACGTCCAAACAAGTTACGGATGGGGTAAACGGGTACTAATCAACAGAGGGAAGGTCCTGGACATCAGAGGGATTGTGAAAGGCTGCCTGTAGGTGGGATTTTAACTGGGAGTTGGCCAAGGAGGCCAAGAGATGGAGAGGAATGAGGAAATTCTGGGCCTCGGGACAATCAATGTACACAGAGTGAGGAGAGAGAGAGAGAGTCTTGTGCAAGGAACAAGGACATCAGTGTCACTGGATTACAGAGGATGAGGAAGGGAGTGGCATGGAAGAAGACTAGAAGGAGAGAAGGGGGCTGGGTGAGGGAGGGCTTCGAATGCCAAGCAAAGGGTTTTTTACTTGATCCTAGAGGTAATAGGAGGCCGCTGGAGTTTCTCGAGTCATGGGGAGACACGATTGGACCTTTGCATTAGGAAAATCACCTCAGTGGCTGAATGGAGAATGGACTGGAGGGGGGAGGGACTCGGGGCAGGCAGGCCCCCAAGGCTATTGCCATAGTCCAGGTATGAGGCGATGAGGGTCTGCACCAGGGTGGAGGTGGTGTGAGAGAGGGGATCCTATTCAAGAGATGCTATTTAGATACAAACAACAAGAGTTAGCATCACACTGAGAATAGGGAATGAGAGAGGGAGGAGTAAAGGATGAAGCCTGGGTGACTGGCCAGTGGTGGTCCCCTTGACAACAATACGGATGTTAGGAAGAGGGAAGAGCTTGAGGGGAAAGACAACATGCCCAGTTGGGATGTGTGGAGTTTAAGATGTCTACAAGATGTCCAGTTCAAAATGTCCACTAAGTGGACATGTGAGATGTGAGACTGGGGGTCAGGGGAGGTTAGGACTACTCAAATAAATCTGATAACCACCCACCTGGAAACTCTAGTTGGAATCATGGTGATAAGAACCCCAAGTAAACTATCATAGAGGGAGAAGAGGCTCTAGAATGAAGCCTTGGGGATATCTGAGGTTAAGAGGTATGACTTGGGTGAACATACAGCACAAAACTGAGGGGTAATCAGACAGGTGGGGGGCTTAGAAAAGGGCAGGGGCTTAGTGTAATTTGTGGGATTCAATGGGTGAATAATGAGGGAAAGGGGACTCCTGCTGCCTCTCATCAAGAACTGAGGAGAATGAGTGGGGTGGAGAAGGGAGGGACTGAAACAGGGAGAAAGAACTGGGAAGGAGATCCCTGAAGAGCCGTGCTATGGAGTAAGCAACCAGGAGGAGACAGGGAATGATGGAAGACCAGAGCAAGGAAAGGACTGGGGAGAGGGGCGCAATCTACTGAAGAGGACACTATGGCCCAGTTGAATTCATATAAGGGATGCAAGAATGGTTTGATGGTACGGAAAACCAAGCACACAGCTAATCACATGAAAAACACAAACAGAAAGACAATTTGTTTTCAGTCATTTCAGTCCTGTCTGACTCTTCATGACCACATTTGGGGTTTTCTTGGTGGGGCTATTGGAGTAGTTGGCCATTTCCTTCTCCTGCTCATTTGACATATGAGGAAACTGAGGCACACAGGGTTAGATGACATGCCCAGGATCACACAGCTAGTAGGTGTCTGAGGCTAGATTTGAACTCAGGAAGATGAGTCTTCTTGACTCCAGAGCCAGCACTATGGCAGCACCCAGCTGTCCAGAAAGACAATAGCTGTAGGAAAGAAGACAGATGGCAGAGTACCATCATTTTGATGTCATACAAAGTGGCTAGAGAGAGAGGCAGCCTCGGAGTCAGGAAGTCCCAGGCCTCTGAGATACATAGGAATGAACACTGGGCAATAGGTGCTATTATTATCCCTACTTTTTTTTTACAAAAAGACAAAGGATGTGACTTGTCCAACTGCAAAATTCTAAACCCTGTATTAATAATGCATGGCATTTAATTTGTTTCAGCTCCATACATACACATCAAAATTTCATGAGACAATATGTATGCTTTTTAAGCATAAAACCTTGCATCTAGGCCTATACAGCAAGCCCTCACTGTCAGCGGCACCCAGCCAAGAAGTGGCCCTAGGACAGAACGTGACCCTCCGTTGTCAGGATGAGCAGAACTTTGACAGGTTCGTCTTCTACAAGGAGGGAGGGGCCAGCACCTGTCAGCTTCAGAACAAGACGTCTCAGCCTGACTTCCTCATCCCAGTGGTGACTGCTGCTCATGGGGGCCTTTACCGATGCTACGTATTTCACAGTCAATATCCCTACCTGTGGTCCGAAAGCAGTGACCCCTTGGAGATCAACATCACAGGTGAAGGAGCCCCCACTCCCACCCCTTTCTTCTCGATGTCTCCCACCTCTTCTCACTGGCCCTGAGACCCAGCCCAGCAGCTCGGGCCCAGGAAGTTTGGGGAGGGGAGGATCCTGGGTCCCCGGGAGGGGTGGAAAGTCCTCCTGTCTCCTTCCCTGATGCAGACCACATGACGATGCAACCAGGAAGCCCCAGCCACCACGGTTTCGCCTCTCCCCTTTCTCAGGGAATCTTTCCCTCAGAATTCCTGTGAAGGTTTAAGCATGGACATGCAATCAAAAACCAACTGATATTTCACTCACCAGGTGTCAAGCATTGCACTAAATTCTGGGAATACGAGGAAAGATAGAACCAGGCCCTGCTCCCAGTTCTAATGGGGGAGACCCCCATCCTGACAGAGGCTTGGAGGGAGGAGAGAGGGAGAGGTGCAGAGAGCTTAATCAAGGGCCTACAAAGGACACGGGAGAGGGAAGATCCCCCAGCACCTGCAGAAGTGGAGTCCTCCCCCAGCACCCCAATTCCTCCTGGGTCTCTGCTCCACACTGACTGGCCCTGGAAACTCCCTCCCCACCCCTCAAATGCTCCCTTAAGGAAGACTACAAGGAAGGGCAGAGAAGGTTCTCAGCACCAGGTCCCCCATGGCCCTGCCTGGCCCTTTTCTCTCCTTTTACTGGGAAGCCTGAGGGGACAGACAGAAAGGAAGAGGATCTGGCTGCCTGGGGAGGGGCAGGGGGGGGGGCAGGTCATGGTCACTAGAGAAAGGAAGAACAGAGCTGAGGCAAGATGGGAGCCACAGACCCAACCCCTCAGTTTTCTCTACTCCTGATTCACTAGTGACCCCGTGGTCATCAACTCTCCCCCAGAGCCTCAGCCCAGGGAGAGAAGGAAACCCCCAGAGCACTTAGATGTTTCCCCAGCCCTGCCTCCCCCAGTTCTGGGATGGGGGGAAAGGAGGGGTGTCCCACTTGTTCTCATGGCACCTCCCATGGGGGAAGAAACCAAGTCATCTTCCCCAGGGGATGTCCCTTCTTGACGCTAATGCTGCCTCTGACCTAATTCAGTGACTCAGGGCTCTGTCTACAAGCAAAGAGGGAAAATCAGGTCTGTGGAGCCAGGGGAGGAAAGCGGACCCTGAGGATTCAGAAGGCTCCTTCCCTCCAAACCAGCTCCTCCATTGGCCTTCCTCACTTTCCCCTTGTTCTCCAGAAGCCCAGGCAGAGACAGAGGAAGTAAGTCATAGGGGTTACAGAGCCATCTAATGTCAATGGCCGAGGACCCTGAGGGGCTAAAATCCAAGCAGGCCCCCATATCTCAGAGCCAGTGAGTAAAGGCAGAGGCAAGTCTCAAACCTAGGCCTCTGGGGTTCCATCCCAGGACCTCTCTGAGCTTCTCCTGCCCAGCTCCTAATTCTGTTCCTTCCCAAGTCCCAGAGACATCTGGTCCAAGGCCGAAACCTCCAGACATGCTATTAGGTAAGTAACAAGGGGAACCTCAGTGCAGGCGGTAGGGAGGCAGGGAGGCAGATGCTAAGTGAGGATGGAGCACTCCCTCCTGCCAGCTCCAGGACCATCAGCATTCCCCTACGTCCCTGCTCTGTCACAATCTCCTGGGCCTTCTCCCTTCCCCTGCTCCCAAGTCCTTCAACCCCTGGACATGCTTTTCAGGGATGTGAATCTCCCCTCAGATTGGCAGTTCCCTGAGGACAGGGCTTTGTCCTTTATCCCCACTCACACTGGGGGCCCCCAAGGACCAGGATGGTGCTAACACGGCCCCTCCAACTGCCCTTCCCCCTTGGCTTTGTCAGGTCTTCCCAGACTTCACGCGGGCATCTTGATGGGCATCTCGGCACTCCTCATCCTGCTCTTCCTCTTCTTCCTCCTCTTCCTCCTCCTCCGAAACCACCAGCAGCAGCAGCAGGCCAGGCTCTGTGAGTCCTTGGGGCTGAGGGTGACTTGATCTGAGGTCTCGATGGGGCACAGAGCTTGATCTCCAGTTCTCTTTTCAGGGACTGGAGGCGAAGATGCAGGTGTTGAAAAGACCCTCAGGAGGTAGGGCCCCAGAAACGCCCCAATTCCTCCCAGCCCCCTCCGCACCCAATCTCCCTCCTCTCTCCTCATTTTTTCCACCTTCTTCTACAGCTGCAGCCGGGCCGAGGATGCTCCCCTAGAGTCCCCGTGTAAGTGGAAAGGGAGCGTGTCCGGGACAACGTCTGGGACTGGGAAGAGCCGAGATCCTGCTGTTTCATCTCTGCCTTTTTGGCCTCTAGATGTGACCGTGGAGGATGTCCAGGCCGAGGAGCGCAGAAATCCCAGTGCTCTGGTGAGCCTCTCAGTCCAACTCGACAACATGGATATGCTCGTGGCACTAACTATACAGGCCCTATAGATGCTCCTAAGCTAACAGCTCATGTGGACATCCCCCAGCGCTCACCTCCCTTGTGCAGGTCCCGATGCCCTCCACCTAGACCAGTGTACCAGCCTCCTTCTCACTATCCCTATCTACAGTCCCTACCCTGGCCAACACACTCCAAAACTGATCCCACAAAAGGCACGGATTCACCTGTAGGCAAGATGTGGTGAGGTCTAGACTGGGACATTTCAGGCCTGTTTCCTCACCACCACTTCTATTTAACTTCTGCCTTGTTTCCTGGTGTAATCTTAGAAAGAAATGTCTTAATGGCTCTTTGTTATTGTCACTCCCTTGATTGTAGTATTTGTTTGCCATTCTTATACTTCATTTATATGGGGTATTTGAGAAACAAATAATTTCTTTAGGTCCGTTTTTTTTTTTCTAGGAGAGTTTTAAGCACCTCTTTTCTATAGAATATCCATCTTTTCTTCATTTGTGCTTAGGCTCATATTTGCAGGGTAGGTCCCCTTGGACTGCATCTTTAGCTCCTTTCCTCTTTAGAATACATTATTCCACTCCCTCCTGTGGTTTCTGGTGGGTGCAGAATAGTCTTGTGTTATTTGACTTTCCTTTCTTATATAATTGAAGGTCTTCTCTTGGTCACTTGCAGAATCCATTTGTTTCTCAATGGGATTATTCAATTTAACTATTATGGGGTCTTAGAGTTTGCAGTCTCAGTTTCTTCTGGAAAAGGTCTATGGATTTTTTTTATTGGCTCTTTATTTTCTGTTTTCAGAAATCCTAGGCAGTTTTCTTGTATATTTTCTTGCATTATCATGTTTAGGCTTTTTAACTTGTCTTGCTCTTCAGAAAGATCCATAATCCTTAGGTTGTCTTTATCCACCCTGTCTTTGAACATCCTCCCATCTGAGGTTGGATACAGTGAACTTATAATGTGACCCGTCTGCAAAATTGTCTAACTTCCTCCCGCTGAGTTCAGAGGCACATGAGTGGAATGGTGTGACTAATGGTGGCATCAGTAACCCAGGGCTGAGGTGTGGGAAAAGGTGACTGGTCACAGGACAAAGGAGCCAGAGGATTTGAGTATAGAAGACATCTGTGCTGTTTTTATGGCTATCCTTGCTTGATTGGCTCATCTCCCATCTTTTCTGCCTTCCCCCTAACAGGTAGAAGACCCTCAGGAAGTGACCTATGCCCACCTGATCCACAAGACCCCCAGTCAGCACCTTGAGCAACTTCCTCCATTCCCACCAGGGGAGACCACCCTCTATGCCCCATTGGCCATCCAGTAAGTATGCCAGTGGGGCCCAGGAGATACTCAACTCATCTCTCCCCAGCTCTACCTCTTCTTTCCCGGTGTGGGCCATAATCTCAACCACAAGACAGACTCTAAAGTCTCATTGGCATTAAACATCAAACACCCAGGAATTTGAACATCAGAGTATCCTCAGCCCTATCCTGACACTGAGCGAGAACACCTCAACACATTCCAGTTCTGTGGTCAGTAGACCAATTAAAACCCTTTTATTAAGCACCTACTCTGTGCCAGCCGCTATACTAAGCCCTAGGCAAGCATCACTTGAACCCTTACCCCCAGCAGCCTAGAAGTGTGCATGGACTGGTGCCTTCTCCTCCTACAATAAATATTTTCTGCCCTTATTCTGCCAAAATAAGGAAACTGGCTGAAAAAAGCAAGTAAACAAATAAATGTATGAATAAAAGAGGAATGTGGCTGTATTACTTGGGCTCTTTCTCATTGTCTTTCCCTGAAATCCCGCCTCAGTACCAACTTCCTCTTACTTGTCTCCACCCTCCCACTCACCCAGGCTTCCTTCCTTTCATGAACCCCAGGGCACCCCGCCTCCAGACAAATCTCCTTCCTTCCCTTTGATCCGGGGTGATATCATGCTTTCTAGCTCACAGGAGTAAAACTGGATTCTTTCCCTGTTGGGAAGAATGGGGCAGAAGACTTTCCTCCCATTCAGCTAGCTGTCTACTCGTGGGATGCTGGGATGCTGGGACTGGCCTGAGAGATTGTCTCCCCTCCCCTCCCATTGGGAGGGGCTGGAGAAGAGAGACTCTGGCAAACTGGTTTGGCCCTGGGCCTTCTGGGCAAACAAAGGGGAAAGACAGGTGGAGTGACGGGTCTTGTGAGGGTGGCTCTTACTCCTAACTCCCATGGACCCTGATCCAGTGTTTCCTCAAGCAGCAAGAGAGGAGGTGGAGATTGCCAAGCAGGCAGAACCTCAGTACCGATGCTCCATTCCTGGACCTTCCTTGGTACCCATTCTCCACCTCAGTATGGTACTGCCTAGCGTCATCACCAGCCTAGGACTGCCCTCGAGGAAAGGGCTGCTTCCAGCTCCTCCACCACAGCCCCACCTTCACTCTGACCACTTGCCCTACGACTCTGCCTGTTCTGTGACAGAACACAGATCAACGCAGCAATCGTTATTAAAAAGGTGCTGTGTGCCAGGCACTCTGCTAAATACTGTTGTTCAGTCATTTTCAGTCGTGTCTGACTCTCCGTGATCCCATTTGGAGTTTTCTTGGCAAAGATACTGGAGAGGTTTGCCATTTCCTTCTCCGGCTCATTTGACAAATAAGGAAACTGAGGCAAACAGGGTTAAATGACTCACCCAAGGTCACACAGCTAATAAGTCTCTAAGACCAGATTTGAACTCAGGAAGATGAGCCTTTCTGACTCCAGGCCTGGTGCTCTCTCCATTGCTACCTCACTGCCATATGCAGAAACGTGCATATATAGTCTCTGCCCTCAGACAGCTCATATTCTAATGAGGGAAACAAGAGGCAAAAAATTATCCATGCAAGATATATACAGTGTACATGGAAGGTGATCTCATAGTCAATCCATAAACATTTAGTGTTAGCATCTACTATGTGCTAGGCTGGACAGCTAGGTGGCACAGTAGATAGACTGCCAGGCCTGGAGTCAGGAAGACTCATCTTCCTGAGTTCAAAATCTGGTCTTAGAGACTTATTAGCTGTGTGACCCTGGGCAAGTCATTTAACCCTGTTTGCCTCAGTTTCCTCATCTGTCAAGTGAGTTGGAGAAGGAAATGGCAAACCACTCCAGTATGTGCCAAGGAAACCCCAAATGGGGTCATGAAGAGTCAGACACAACTGAAAAATGACTGAACAGCCACAAAAATGTGCCAAGCACTGTGCTAAGCACTGAGGATACAGAGAAAGGTGAAAACTGTCCTTGCCTTCAAGGAGCTGCCGGTCTAATGGAGGAGACACATGTGCAAACACATATGTGCAAACGAGATATATAAAGGATAAATCAGAAATAACCAACAGAGGGAAGGCACTAGAATTAAGAGGGATTGGAAAAAGCTCCCCATAGACAATGGGATTTTAGCTGGGCCTTTAAGGAAGCCAGGAGGTAGGGATGAGGAGAGAAAGCATTCCAGGCCTGGAGGACTATCAGAGAAAATGCCCAGGGGATAGAGCTCCAGCCTTGGAGTCAGGAGGACCTGAGTTGAAATACGGCCTCAGACACTTGATATTTACTAGCTGTGTGACTCTGGGCAAGTCACTTAACCCTGATCACTCACCAAAAAGCAACATAAATAAATAAATAAATGCCTGAAGCCAAGAGATGGAGCGTCTTGTCCAAGAAGGCCAAGCTTCTGGGATCAAAGAGGACAAAGAAGAGAGCAGAAAGTAATAAAACTGGGAAAGGAGGAAGAGCCCAGATTGCTGAGGGCTGCTCAGTTGACCCAACCCAGTTATGGCCCCGAGTGCAGGACGGCCACTGTTCTGCACAATTCCTCAGACCAAGCCGTAACTTTCAGTTTCCTTTCCACTTCTCAGCCTGGGGTTCCTGAAATCATATATCTGGATTTTGTTTTGAGGGGGTTTCTTTTTTCCGCTTTTCTCTTACTGTGTCCAGTTACTCATGAACCAGTGTCTAATACAGCCAACGTGGGGTGGTCTTGATCATTATTACGCCAAATTACTAGTAGGGGCGATTGTCCACCTGGCAGAAATTATCAAGGGGACTGTCACATCCCTGTAATAAAATGAAGATCTGACCTCGAATGTTAGCGTTAATTTGATTGACCTGTACTTGGCGTCATGGAGGTTGGAAATGGCCCCCATTTCTCAGCCTAACAATGATATTCCTTCTAGCACTGTAATTGGTATTCTCCCCTGTCTTCACTTAGCCCACCTTTCCCCTCTCACAGTGCCCATTTCATCTAGGGGCCTATTTTGTCTTTGATCATAGAGTTCCTCATCCCTTGAAATCATTAATGCTATTATCCCTGTCTTGCCCCCTGAAGTTACTATTACTTCGCCTAGGGCAAGCCTTGTCTTCTCCAAGGGGAGTGCATATATAGTTTCTGAGCTGACGGCCTCATTTATGACATGTTCTATAGTCTCTGCTCCTCCTAAATGGGAGATGAGCACAGTTTTAACACTTTGGCCTGCCCTAATCGGTATCCTCTTCAGTTCCACAATATGGTCTCTTAGTCTTGGTCTTTCTATATCTTTATTCAAATCCAAATATATTCAAATAGTCTTAAATAAATTCAAATCCAAAATCCAAATATTCTACCAGAACCATTTTTAATAGTAATTGTACATCTTCAGAAATAGCTTTTCATTTGCATGGGCAGTAGGCTGTGGCTTCCTCTGAGCCTGAGAAATTCAATGGAAAATAATGTCATTGTCATTCCTCTACCTTCTGCTACCATTGCCTTAACCAGGTGGGCCGGGCTTTCCTCTTCAAAAATCATCTCCTGGCTTTTAACCCCATCTTGTTCTATCATGACAAACTCACCACCTGTTTGGTATCTGTTTCCTCTTTCATCTTAGCAGCCAAGCATCATCTATTTCCTCTGGTTTGGTTGTGTGTGTGTGTGTGTGTGTGTGTGTTTAAAGGAAGTCTGTAAGTCTGACCTAAATCTGTTCTATTAACAGGCTCTGGTTTCTGAGCTGGAAGCTATTTCTTTTCTTTCTCTAAAGATTTTGTGGTTAGATATGGGACACAAAGGGCAGCTAGGTGGTGCCATAGTGCCCAGAGCATTTGGCTTAGAGTCAAGAAGACTCGTCTTCCTGAGTTTAAATCCAGCCTCAGACACTTACTAGCTATATCACCCTGGGCAAGTCATTTCACCCTGTTTGCCTCAGTTTCCTCATCTGTAAAATGATCTGGAGAAGGAAATGACAAACTCCTCCAGTATCTTTGCCAAGGAAATCCCAAATGTGGCCCTCTAGGTCCTCAAGTGTGGTCCTTTCACTGAATCCAAACTTCACAGAACAAACCCCTTAATAAAAGGATTTGTTCTATAAAACTTGGACTCTGTCAAAAGGCAGCACCCAAGGACCTACAAGGCCACATGTGACCTCGAGGCCACAGGTTCTCCACCCCTGACTTGGAGCTTCTAATTAAACCCTGATCACCTGCTCATTCAATTAGCTCTCTATTTCTATAGTGAAAAATAAACTTATATCTCCAGAATCAAGTCTACTCTTTCTCTGAACTTCTTAAGTAAGAATTCCTCTATAACTCACAAGAGTATATTTTTCAATTTCTGCGGTGGTGACTCTGCCTTCAGAAAAGTCAGAAATCCTTTGATCATTGAGTTGGAATTAGGGTTAGATGAAGAACCTTAGAATCAGGGCTGCTAATAGCCTAATTATAATAATAACAGAGCTTTACTACAACCCTAGGAAGTACCGGCTATTATTATCAACCTTATTTCACAAAGGAGGAAACTGAGGCTGAGAGGGGTTTTGCCCAGTGTCACCCAGGCCCCATATGCCTCCAAATATTCATGGCAACACTTTCCCTTGTAGCAAAGAACTGGAAACAAAGTAGGTGTCCATTGATTAGGGAATGGCTAAACAAATTGTGGTATGTAAATGTACTGGAAGATTTTTTGCTGTTGTTTCAGTGCCTTCCAACTTTTCATGACCCCCATTTGGGGGGTGTTCTTGGCAAAGATACTGGAGTGGTTTTCCATTTCCTTCTCCAACTCATTTTACAGATGAGGAAACTGAGGCAAAGAGGGTGAAGTGACTCACCCAGGGTCACACAGCTAGGAAGCTCTGAGGCCATATTTTAACTTGGGAAGAGGAGTCTTCCTGACTCCAAGACTGGTGGTGCAGGACTCTGTTTACCACAGCACCACTTAGCTGCCCCAGCTGGAAAATTATGATGCTAATGAGTAAGTTGACTACCCCGTTAGGGAAAACATAGATGTGAATGAAAAGAGAAGTAAATAGAGACCATATATACATACATATGTACACACACATATATACACTATGATTACAACCACGTAAATGGGAAAAAAAAACCAACCAGAATAAAGCAATTGAAACTGAACATGGCCAACTTATAAAGACAAAGCTGGGCACCAACGAAGAACCATGGGAAGACCTCTCCTCTCATTGGACAGAATGCCAAAGTTGTTTAAGGGTTGATTTGTTTGGTTGAATTTTTTTCTCTTTTTCTTCTTTTTTCATTCTTGATTATAAGAGATGACCCTACAGGAAGGGATAGGAAAAATCAATAAAATGTTGTTTCTTTTTAAAAAAGAATTTCAGAATCCTAGAGTTGGTAGGGTGTTGGCTTGTACAAAAAGGGAAAATGAGGCAGAGACAGACAGACAGGGAGCCGGCCAAGGCCATGTACCTGAGTCTATCCTCTCCCAGAACACCAGACGCACACACACACACACACACACACACACACACACACACACACACACATACACACACACACACTGGAGGCTACATGGAGGAAGACACTGTCTCAGAAAGGCTAGGGGATTGGGAAATTCTGGGTGGGGCTGACCCTGGCTGTATCTTGTGTCTCAGTCAGCCTGCTTGACCAGTGGCCTGTCTTCCCTTTCACCAGAGCCTGGAACCACCATGTCCCCCTCGCTGATCACCTTGCTGGGTTTTGGTAAGTAGGGAAAGGGATGTGAGGCTCAGAAGAGCCAGAAGGGGCATCAGAGACCCTGAGTGCCCCGCTCCCTTTTCTGTCTATGCCATTTACAGAGGGGAAGTCTGAGGTTCAGAGGGAGGATCTGATTTCCAGGAGATCACGCAGTGAATGGGGGAGAGGGTTTGGGCCAGGACAGGAACCCAAGTCTTCTGCTGCTCAACCAGCCAGCCCCCAGCCCTAAGGTTTCTCCCTGTTTCTTCTCATCCAGCATTTAGCCCAGCACCTGGAACATTTGTTTCAGTAGTTTTTAGTCATGTCTGACTCTTCATGACCTCATTTTGTGGGGTTTTCTTGGCAAGGCTACTGGAGTGATTAGCCACTTCCTTCTCCAGGTCATTTTACAGATGGCGAAACTGAGGTAAACAGGGTTAAGTCACTTAATCAGGATCATACTGCTAGTAAGTGTCTGAGGCCAGATTTGAGCTCAGGAAGACTCATCTTCCTGACTTCAGGACTCTATCTACTGTGCCGCCTAGCTGCCCACCTGGCACATAGTAGGCACTTAATGCTTATTGATTGACTGCCTGCCTCCCCAAGGTTTTGGTGGGAAGGATGTGTTGATCTGTGTCTGACAGAGATCTTCTCTGGCAGGATTATGGCTGAGCCAGTGGATCAGAGCTCAAGAGGGTGAGTGCTTCCCCCCTCCCATACACCCCAGCCCAAACTCCCCCTGACCCTTATCCAGGCTCAGCACTCACGGGACAGCTGGGAAGGGAGACCAGAGGAGCTGGGGTTGGGCTGATGGGTAATCTGGGAGGAGAGCCTAGGGACAACAAGGACAGAGGACACCCCCCCCAGACCTCTGGACTCTGATCTCTTCCAGGGACACTCCCCAGACCCACCCTCCAGGCTGAGCCAAGCCGCCTCATCCCTCATAAGGAATCTGTCACCCTCCGGTGTCGGGGATTTCCTGGGGCTGAGATGTACCGTCTAAGGAGAGAAGAAAGTTCTCAGCACACAGATGTGCTTACATCTGGGAGGCAGGCCGAGTTCCCCATCTCCTCGGTGACACCGGACACGACTGGGAGCTACCGCTGCCTGTACAAGAACCAATCCCACTGGTCCGAGCCCAGTGAGCCCCTGGAGCTAGTGATGACAGGTGGGAGGGTGCCCCCAAGCTTCCTTCCCACCCCTTCTCAGGGGCTGCTCCTTCTTTAGGGAGTCAGAGCCAGTCTTGGGAATGGAGAGCAGAGAGGACTCTCAGCTCTGAGCTCAGGAGGCAGGGTGGAGCAAGAGGCTCAGCCTGGGCTCCTTGGGGTGGGCCGAGGGGCTCTCCCATAGCCGGGAGATTGAGGAGGAGGGAGCCACAGCTGCTCTTGGAACAGGCCAGGAAAGGGACAACTTCCCCTTTCAATGCAATCCCCTTCTCCCACAGGCTGGTACGATAAACCTCGGCTCCTAGCCCTGCCCAGTCCAGAGGTGTTCTCAGGAGAGAATGTCACCCTCCAATGTTGGTCCCACCAGTGGTTTGAAATATACGTCCTGCACAAGGAGGGAGGGGCCAACCTTTCCCGGAGCCAAGGAAGGTGGAACCGCGCGAATTTCCACATCCCTGAGGTGACTGCTGCTGATGGAGGCTCTTACAGATGCTACAGCCTTCACATGGACACCCTCTATGAGTGGTCAACCCCCAGTGACCCCCTGGAGCTCAGGGTCAGAGGTGAGGGAGCTCCAGCCTGGGCCCTTTTATTCCCATCAGCCTAAAATGCAATGCTATGGCCAAACTGACTGCCCTGGGGATCCCAGAAACTGGGAGCATTTGGGTAAGGGAGACCCCAGGGGTCCCTGAGGAGGGTCAGAGGGAGTGATGACAGAGCTAGGGGTCTAACAACTGGAGAACATGAGTGGAAAGATTATGAAGTTCCCAAGGCCTTCTCCCTAAGTCACTGACAACCTCCATCCCCTTGCCAGATGCTTATACTGTGGGAAATCTCATCCGCCTCGGCCTTGCTGGGCTGGTACTCATCATCTTAGGAGTCCTGTTGGTGGAAGCCTGGCACAGCCAGAGGGGGCACCGAGAAGTGGCCCAGAAGCCCCTGCCCACGCAGTCAAACCAAGCCAAAGAGCAAGGCGGAGTGGGGGACCCAGTGAGTTTGTAACAAGACTTACAAACTGCTTCTCTCTTTGGCCACCTGGGAGGCTGACTGGCATGGTGTTTGCGCTCTTTGCTCAGATTCAATAAAAGGAGCACTTTGATACATTGTAATCAGCCTCCTTTCCTGCTCTCAAAATGCCACCTGCCCCAGGGCCCGTGGTGATGGGGGCGATGAAGGAGGAGATGAAGGCCCGCTGGTATTTGGCCACTGGGTGTCCTGTCCCTTCAGGGACTTCCAAATGCTCCTCCCTGTGGCTGGCTGTCCCTGGTGGAGCAGGGGCAGTGGACCCAAAGGCAGGACCCACTAGGAGGGCCTACTCCCATTCCACCCCTCCCATCCATGGCTTTGGAACACCCCCCACTTGGCCAGCCTTTCTGCCTCATTTCATAGTGTCCTTACTTTGTAGGCACCAGAAGATTACCCAGTGTGGGGGAGCAGGAACCAGAGACACAGGACCAGGGTGGACCCCAGTCTAGTCACTGAGGCTCTGAGGAAGTAGTTCTGCTACATCGAGACAGAGCTAGGGATCCTAGTCAAGCCCTGCCTGCCCGCTGGAACCTGTCTCTGGGGTCCCTCCTTTGCCTTGTTCCCCTGCCTCATATATTTTTGAATTGAGCTGATGGGCTATCTGAGAGATGCATGATGTGACAGATTCTTACCAGTTTACTGCATGGTGCCAGAAAGGCTGTTGAGCCAGCACTGAGGGTGGTACCGAAGGCCTGGTCTGATGAAGCCTTTTGCCCATCCCTGCTGGCAGATGAGGCAAGTGCTGTCATGGGTCTTTAAGCCCCTCTCACCCTACCTGGCCCCCACGTGAGGGACAGGGCATGGCGCTACCTCTGAGTTCACTCTTTTCTGAATTGAGATATGTGTGTATCAGAGTGGGAATGGACCAGGTAATGAGCTCAGAATCTTCAAAGCTCCCAGCTTTGGAAAAGCCAGCAGATGTCTCACCACAAGAGTCGGGTAAGAGAGTCTTCCAATGGCCACTGCAGCTTGGCCTGGTGAGAAGCCAACTCTTGGAAGCGCCAAACTCATCATGAATCAGCCTCCTAGCTGAGACCACCGGGTCCGACAAGCAAGAGAGTGACTCGTCAGCTGGCTATGACACACCCAGGGGTGAACTCGGTGCAACCTTCTTGTAGTACTTACTCTAAGTGTTAGGCCCTTGTCCCCATAAACAGATGAGGCAGCTAGGTGGTACAGTGGATGGCATGTTGGACCCCCTCAGATGCTTACTAGTTGTGTGACCTTGGGCATGTCACTTAACCCCTATTTCCTCATCTGTAAAATGAGGGTGATAATAGTATCTCCCTCCCAGGGTTACGATGAGGATCAAATGAGATCATCTGTGTAAAGCACCTTGCAGGCTTTTACAATGCTACCTGAATGTTAGCTGTGATTATCACATGGCAGAAACGGGACAGGAATGAGTCAAGGGCTATTCAGGATTTGTGAATTGAGGTCAGTGGAGAGGTGGTGGGACCTTTGAATAGAAAATTGTGGAGGAGGGTTGTGAGTGGGGTGGGGAGTGGAGTGAAGAAGTGAATTATTACCAATTGGGATGGATTGACTTTGCAAAGTCAATGGGACATTCCTTTGGAGAAATCCTATAGGCAGTAGAAGATGAAGTATTGCTGTTTGTCCTTTGTTTTCAAAGAGGACCAGTGACATCACAGGGTGATGTCTTGGCTTGCACATGAATTGGATATAAGTGAGGCAGAGCTGCCCAAAGTCATCAGTCTCACTTTGTCTTCCAGAGGCCTCAATATCCAGTGCCAAGACAAAAGTCAAGATGACTGGTGATGGCCCAGGATGCAATGGATGACCTTGGTGTTATCAATGACTGGCCAAGCTCGAAGTTCATCACTGTATCTGCTTTGGCTGCCTTCATGGCTATTGGAATAAATTGTTTTCATCTGCCCATTTCACTGGGCTGGAAGTTTTCACATGCTTGGGGCAGACATCCCCCTAATTCACCACTGGGTTTGAGACCCATCAGTTACTCTCAGCCTGGTTCAGCCCATCTGCTGAGATGGTTTTACTGGTGTGTGGCCACTGTGTGTGCTACAGATCCTTGGAGCCACAGGTGAGAGCTGTGAGCATGCCTGACAAGGGCTCGGTAAGCCCTCATACCAGATGTGCTAGTCCTCCATAGACATAAAAATGTAATCTAAGGTAGCTGATGAAATTCCGAAGAAAGAAAGTATAGAGAAAGAAAAAGGAGGAGATCTAGGTCAGAACATTGGGCAAGAACCAGCAGTTAGGGGGCAGGATGTGATGATCCAGGGAAGGAGACTGAGGGGTGGCAGTCAGAGAAGGGAGAGGAGAACCAGGAGAGAGCAAGTCTTCCCAAAGTTTAGGAAGGAGAGAGCATTCAGGAAGAGACAGTGGCAGACAGTGTCAAAAGTCACACAGAGGACAAGAATGTTGAGGACTGAGAAAAGATTAGGGAAAGCAGCAGTCAAGGGATTTCTCATAACCCACTGCAGAAAATCATTTTTGTTCAGTTGTAGCATCTGAAAGCAGATTGTGAGGGGCTGAAAAGTGAGTGGGTGAGACAACAGGGGCCCAGGTGTAGACAGCTTTTTATAGCTTCTATTTTAACACATTTGCTAATTTGGTGCTAGTTAGACCATCATGGCCCATCCCAGAATGGTGGGTGTGGGCTGAGAGAGCCTTCTCCATCTGAGCCTCCCAACCCCCACCTCCATCCCAGGCTCTCTGTCAGTGAGCCCCGATACGCTCAGCTCTCCCTCTTCTTGCTGATGGATGCTGCTGAATGAGATCTTTCTCTAGATCATGCTCACTAACCATGGGAGGGACCCAAGGTTGGGTCCAGGGTCCTCTTTTTAGTCTAAACTTCCCCTCCTGATGACTTCATCTGCTTCCGTGGGTCCAGCTATCATCTCTACATGGGTGACTCCCAGATCCCAAGATCCGTAAGTCTCTCCCTTGAATTCGTCTCAGATATCCAAATGCCTTTTGGACATCTCAAAGTGGGTGTCACAAACTTAAGATATCCCAAAGAGAAATCATTCTCTTCCCCACCTCCCAAACTCTTCTCTTTTCTGAACTTTGCTGTTATTGTCAAAGGGACTACCATTCTCCTGGTCCCCCAGTCTCACAATCTGGGTGTCACCTTCCACTCCTGTCTCCCACTTACCCCACACAGAAAATCTATTGTTAAGTCTTGTCTTTCCACATTCACATCTTTCTTCTGCGTCTCCTTCTCTTCATTTCTCATCAGCTATTCTATTTGGTTTCAACTCTATGAACATCCTGCCTTCCCCCAAATAGACTCATCTCCTGAAATTCCATCCTTTTGATTAGAGGGCTGGAGGACAGCGCAATGAACTCCTCCCAAGGACTCCCATTATAGAGGACTTCTTCCCTGAAATCCCATCATCTTGGAAATTGTCAGCTTTGATATTCAACACCTTAACATCCTCAGCTTCCTCTCTCCTCAGATTGGAGGGCTAGAGGGTGGAGCAATGAACTCCCAGGGCCTCTCTAAATGCCACGCTTCCATGCCTGGTACCCTCTGATGGACAAGGAAGCAGCTTCTCGTACCCAGCCCAGCCCAGATTGGTATCTTTCCTCCTTAGCCTTCTTGTCTTCCTTATTGTTCTGCCTGGGCATCCTGTCCTTCTAGGCTCTGCTCCTCCAGACTGACAACCTCTGAAATCCTCTCTGACTCCTTTCTCTTCCCCCATGACATCCTTCACTCTCCACTTTCCTTGATAATAACTAGTACTTCCCAAATGTGTCCTTAGCTCCTCCCATTCCTGGTAAGGTGATGGGTACGGGTATAAACCCACCAGTGAAGGGAATGTTACCAAAGTTTCACCAAAACCATGCTCCCAGGCTACAAATGCCATGGGTTAACAGGTGGCACCTTCAAGCCATTTGACTAGGTATGAAGGCAATGGGACAGCCTGAGCCTTTCCACCTCAGTCCTGCCAATCCAGGAATGTTTCCTTCATAGCCACAGAGGGAATGACTCTCCCTGAGACAGGAGCTGGATCACTGGTCACTTAACTCAAGACAGAATCCTCTCCTTCCAAACCGAGTTACTCTGCTTAGCCAAGCTCCCAGTGTGGAATGGCAGTGCACCCCTTCCAAGAACATGGAGCTGAGAGGGTGCACAGGACTGAGCCTGGGACATACTTTGGTCAGAAGTAGTAGGCAGGCCTTGCTGGACCTTGCCTCCTACCCCTTACTTGCTTAAAAGCTCTGCTCCTGCTTCTTTCACTATGGCAACCCTACAAAGGGTCTAAAATTTGACTGCTAACCTGTTGTCAGTCTCTTCCACACAGATTCCTGAAGGAAGAAGTTCCTGGAGGCTTCCTCCTCTTTGGGAAAGGGAGGTCATAAAGCAATCTTTAAGCTGTGCCCCTTTCCTTCCTGTGGCCCCCAAGTAGACTAGAACAGGTCTGGCTTCAATTTTTAAAGGTTTTAAGTTATTATTTTAACTAATTAATTAATCTTTTTTCAAGGAACACAAATCTATTGATAACCAACTGTCCTCAAAACTATTGGTGAATTAGGGTGATGTCTACCTCAAGCACGTGAAGACTTCCCTCATCAGAGTGAGTGGATGAGGACAATTTGTTCCAACAGTCATGAAGGTGTCTGAAGCAGGTACTGCGTAGCCCTTAGAGCTTGGTCAGACACTAAAGAGGCCAAGATCATCCACTGCATCCCAGCCACGACCAGTCTCCTCGACTTTTATCCTGCCACTGGACTTCAACGACTCTGGAAGAAAGAATAAAACTGATGACTTTGTATAACTCTGCCTCACTTCAATCCAATTCACATTCACTCGCAAGTTGAGACATCACCTCATGGTGTCATTGGCGTCCTCTTCAGAAATGAAGGACAAATAACCACAGAGATAAGCTGGAGGAGAAACTGGCAAACCATGCCAGTATCTTTGACAAGAAAACCCTAAAACTGGGTCACAAAGAGTCAAACACAGCTGAAATAACTGAGCAGCAACAAGAAAGAGTAAAAGGGCTGCCTCGCCGCAGTGGGGGCAGAAATAAGATTACCAACATACATTTGTAGACCACCCAATTAGTACAGTTTTGTGATTTTTGCCAGCTTC